GTACTGGGGAGAGAGGAGCCCAAGGGATGGGAGATCCACCCAGCACATTGGCCTGTGGGAAAGAGAACTCAGCAAATAAAATGGAAGAAACTAGGCTTGAAATTATGACATCGGTGGTAACCACGGGAAGCTTCGTTCATTGGGGTGGTGAGGACAAGTTCAGTTGCCCAAGAGGTGGGGCTGGCTGAAAGATGAGGACTAGAGGCAACAGACCGCCCACAGCCCACTCTGGTGGTCACATTGTTTCTGGTCAGGGTAGCTCATTTCTTAGTGACCTTTCATGACACAAGTATGGAACTCTCACAGGCAGTCTTGTCTGATTGAGAATCTGCTCTGTGTCTGAGTAAGATGGTGAACTCCCCGAAGGAAGTTCAGTGGGCCTGGCTTCTGTGCTCTGATATTTAATTCTGTTTTAATGTTCAGAGTTGGATAGCTCCCCAGTGAGGAGGCAGCCCATACAGAGTTTCACATGGTCCTAAATTTAATTCATTTAAATCACTAAATGCATGAGGCTTCACTGTTGTGATTAATTTTTTATGTGACTTGAATGAAATTTCTTCCAGAATTTTGTATTCTCTTTGCTGCCTGAACATTTTTAAGTGAAACATTATTCTCTAGAATTTCCTGTTGTTTGTCTAGGTTATGTGGATTGTAAAACATAGCAGACCGGGTTAAATTATTTATGTGCTGCTTTAGGCAGCTTGGATTTTGGAGCTCCCACGCTGGGCACCAGCACTACAAGGTTGCACATCGTCTAGGAAGGTAGTTGTTACAGCTGCTGAATGTCTGTATGTGAAGCCGTTTCACAAGCAGCTCTTGTTTCATTGGTAATGTTGAGCAGTGAATTGTGTTTGGATCAGGGTTCTGTGTCATTGGCTGGTATTGTGTAAGGTATCAAAAATCAAGATGGAAGAAAGCCTCATCCAATTAGATTGTTGTTCCTTTACTCTGGATAAGTGGACACCTATGTAGCGTATTTCACTTCCCAAAGGAAAAACAATGGCTGTAAAGAGGAGGTGAGCTTACTGGGCCGTGGTTGGTCTTGTTACTTGTTACTTTACTGTCTTTGAGTTTTCCTTCAGGCTCCAGAGCTTATATATTCATATGACCTTGGGTACTCATCTCCCATCTCTGGTCTGTGGGCATCTTCTCTTTAAAACGAGGTGTGGATTGGGACTTTGAGTGCTTCTAGAAGCACAGTGCATAGATGGTGTGGGTGTCATGTTATATAACAGGTACAGGCCTGAGAACGAGTCACTGCATCGGCCATAGCTTCAGCAACTGAGGACGTAGACATGAAGTTTTCTGTGGCATATGAGAGCCTTGTTGGAGTGAGTGACGGCCTTGGTTTTCCTTTTCTTCATCTGTATGTGCACTTTGCTCTGCCTTCTCCACATCAGACTTTGTCCTGTCCTTCATGCTTTTCCTGTGCTCATTTCCATTTCACTTTCTTCATGTTTCATTCCTGTATCTTTCTTGTCTAGAGCAAGTGGAGCAGCCCACTGGCAGTAGCACCATGTAGGACCTGTGGGAGCCGCTGGTAAGTGCACTCGTGTGCTTGCCAGACACCCAGTGCTGCATCTTCACAGTGGAAGCTGATAAGGCCCCTGTCCCTTTGTAAAAGTCCTCCTAGGTTGCTTTGCTTCCTCTTTAATTTGATAATGTAGCAGATAGAAATCAAGTATCTGGACCTTTTCTGATAAAGGAAATGTAGCAAGGCTCCCTCGTCTGTCCAGCAGTACCAGGCACATGTCAGCAGGACCCCTGGCTCTAACTTGTGTTCTGTCAGACGGGTTTGTTCCTCTGGTCCCAGCCTTCATTTTGTCCCACAAAATACCAGCTGGGACAGGTTGGGTTTTTGTGGTATTGTTTTGTTTTGTTTTGTTTTGTTCTTTTTGAGACAGGATCTCCCTGAAGCCCCAGCTGGCCTAGACTCACAATGGAGACCAGACTGGCCTTGATCTCACAGAGATCTGCCTGCCTCTGCCTCCCAAGTTCTAGGATTAAAGGCATATACCACCCCTCCTGACATGGGACAGGTGGTTTTGATAGCCCCCTTCATCTCTAATCAGAGGCCCTTGTGGGATAAGTATTTTGATAGTTCCGATTAAGAGAGTTGATATGTGAAATAATCTGTTTCATAAACAAATGGTAGAGTCATGGTAGGCTGCTGTCGTCGCCACACTAATCTATAACTCTGTCACTACTACTACTTTGGTGGTATCATTTCTTTACCTTTACAGTTGATACATTAGTGTTATTTAAGTACTTACTGTGGTTTTTAATATAGACCATAGAGTCCCATATGTCTGGTGACCCCCAAAATAGAGTATATTGATCTAACCCAGTCCTCTTAAGCTTCAGAGGTTCTCCCCCTCCCCACGGCTCCCAGGAGACAGGATATTTGGCCATGTTCTGAGTCTTGGGTTGTCAAACTGGGAAGGGACATTGTTGCTGGGATCTGGTAGGTAGAGACCGCTGATTCCGATCATCCTCTGAGTCATTGATCTCCGTGACAGGATTGTTTGGTCTCGAATGTCGTTTGTGCTGTGGTTGAGGTACCTGGCTGCTTGTGTCCTTTGAGAAGGCACAGGAGACCTGTGTGCTGTAGGTGGATCTCTCCACAGGGTATCTTTGTGACTTTAAAGGGACTTCCTGGAAAAGAGAGCAGGAGCTTCTCACTGATTAGGTTTAAGGAGTTCAGAAATGGATATTTGGTACAGGCTAGGTGTTCTCATTCATTTTTAGGCAGAAAATAAAACTTAAAATAGCATTTGCCTTTGAAATAAAGCATAGTGCTTTATTATAAGCATGAGAATTTCACTTACTGAATCCTCTGTATCTACCCAGTGAGCTTCATGTTTTCACTTGAAAACTAATTGAGTGTCATACACTGCAAAGGTTGTAGAAAGTCTTTGAATTGAGTTTGCGTGGGATTGTATTACAACGAATGTCACCTGTTTTCTATTAAATTTTACAACACAGCTTTATTTTCGATGTATCTGAGGCTTATTATAGAGGTCATATTTACATGATTCCTCTCCATTTTAGAACCTTGTAGAGGGTAAGTAGTAAGAAAGGGCCATGTTTCTTGGCCTACTTGAGAGACATGAGGTAGTACTAATGTCTTACAAAAATTTGTGATTTTGATTCAGTGAAAAAAAAAGTCTCTAATTTTGGAGTAGAGTTTCTGAGGGCTGTTACCAGGGGTCCTGTGACATCTGAACAGTTTGGCCACTGCTGGTAGTCAGTCATTTATATTTGAGCATAGTGGAGATGCGTTTTTGTTTGGGGTTAGAGAAGACTGAGCATCACATACAGGAAGGACATATACAGCATACTGAGGACAAGGGAACTGAGAATCCAGATTCCCTTAACATAGCTAGAGCCTTCAAGAGTCTTGGCCATTACTTACCAGATTAAGGCTCAGTGTTGTAAGACTGACAAAGGGAGAGAGAGCCTGGAGAGGCTCCCGTATGGAAGGCATCCGCAGGTCTGCCCTGTGCGTGCAGACTGGTACATAAATTCTTCACCTGGAGACAGGAATCGGCTGTCCCCATGACCGTCTGCCCCTTGACTTCCATCTGTACCAGAGTGGAGGTGGTTCCAGCAGTGTGTGTACTGTGTGCCAGGCTATTTTTGCTACATGTGGAAAGGAACAGATGGGTATATTGTCAGAAACTTGAGTGAATCCTTACTGTATAGTTAGGAACAAACAAACGAAAAAAATCCAGAAACCTGTTTTCTAAATACTTGCTGAAGAGTTAGACACTTAAAATGGTATTTTAGAATTTTCACCGTTTTTGTTTTGATTTTGATTTTTTTCTTGTTATATCACTTACGTTTTTATCAAAATCTTTTTGTTAAAGATTAGTTCTTTGTACTGCCATTGATTTGTCTCATTTTAATCTAATTATCTTCAGCGATGCCATTTTGTTTCTGGGTTCAGTTTTCATCTGCCATCTCCATTTTAGTTAGCCCTGTTTCTCTAGTCAATGTCTGCTAGTGAGAATATAATTTTCCATGTACTCTGGAAGTAATGAGTGGTTTCTTGTCTGCCTGTGGATTGTGAAGGTAGCAGAAAGCAAGTGCCCGGAGAGGAGAGGCAGGGTAGTCTGGGGGGTTCTGGGCAGGGGGAAGGAGCTGTTGTCTGCGGACAGTAGTACGAAAGGAAGTGTTTGGGAAGAGGACAGACTGCCAACTCTTGGATCTGATCACTGAGGAGTACCAGACACCAGGAAAAAGCCATTTGGAAATAGAATTTGAAAGGCGGGTCCCAGTTCTAAGGGGGGGGGTGGTCAGTGCTTAAGGGGCCTGCTGAGCTGAGCTTGCAGTGTTATATACAGTGTTGAGCTGTGTGTCCTCACTGAGTTCAGGACTTACTCTTCTGACTTCTCAAAAAGATAGTGCATTTTCATCTTCTAAAGGTCACTTGAAATGCAGTCAGTACTTTTCTGAACTTCCTCCCCCGTATCATTATGAAATAAGGGCTCTGCTGACTGGCAGGGAACTGCTCACAGTTACTGTGCATTTGATGTTTGAGCCGTTGTGTGGGTGTGTCCCTCACAGTCCAGTGAGGCGTCTACTATTAAGACAGAAGTGCGTTGATAATTGTGAATAATCATATCTCAACCAAGAAAAGTCCCCAAGTTACAACCACATTGTTTCTTTCTAATGTGTTTTGTCCCTGTTGTGTGATGTTCAGATGTTGTTGTTTCTAGGCTTTCTTTGACATCAGTATTAACTTCTTAAGAAAATACTATCCATTATTTTGATAGCTATTATAGCTATGAAACTAATAAAAAATGCAGGGTTTGTGGGGTTTTTTTCCTCTTGACAGGACTTGAAAATATTTATAGTCACTATCCATTCCTTTCTCTAGGAATACAAAATGACAGTTGCCTAGAAATACACAGCTTACCTTGGTTGGGTTAATAATTGTCTTCTTCAAGAATTCAGAGTGATAATGAATGAGTAAATAAATAAATACTGTGTTGCAGGGAAGAAGAAATCTCAAGAAAATAAAAACAAGGGCAGCAGGACTCAAGACAGACAGCAGGAGAGTAGAGAGCCGGACCCTCCCTCTGCAAGTATGAGAGACTCTGCGGAAGGTGAGCTCTGACCCCAGGCTTGTCTGACCTGGCCATGTCTTACCAGTTAGTTTAATGTTGTGCCTTCAAATTTACGGAGAGGCAGGGAACCGAAAGTGAATCAGAAAGGCAGCTGGCTTTGTGCTCGCTGCAGTTGTGCCTCCGTGTTTGGGACAGTTCTGTTGCTGGACAGATGAAGGAGGTGTGTTCTGCTGAGTTCCTCATGGTGGCACAACAGGCAGATTGCAGAGTACAGGCTTGTGACATTCAGAAATGTTTGTAGGGGGAGATATTTTGAATGCCTCTTATGGCCACTTAATTGGCCCTTTCTGTGATGATGACATGAAAAGCATTGCTATCTTGGACTCGGTGAGCTCATTGGGAATGCAGTACACATTGATCCCCAGGGTGGCTTGGGAGTTGGACGGGAAAAAGTGTGATTTTAGACCGAAGGAATTGATTGGGAGGAGGGAGGCTTGCTCCCTCTACCCCAGACCTTCCTTTGTGGTGTACAATAGTCTACTTAAAAGGAAGGAAGGGGAGAAAATGAGATAGGCTCTTCATTTCCCAGAGCCTTATAGATCTAACTTCTGCCTCTCGTTTTATTTAAAAGTATTGTTTTAAATTTAAAATGTTTTAAAATTTAATTTTAAATTCTTAAAAGTTTCCTTTCTCCACTTCTTTAATAGCTTTGGGAGTTTTTGTTGTTTTTTAAACTGATGCATCATAAAATTGTGAAACAAGACACTTGATACTGAAATTCCCAGATGTCGGTGCTGCTTGCTGCTCAGAGTGAGGGTTATCCTGCCCAGTGTAATTGTCATCCTCCCTGAACTTGGACATTGTCCTCAGCAAATGGTCTATGCAGTGAGCAAGCCATGCAGACTCTTCTTAGGTTCCCCTATCCTTTCTGGGTAACAGAGCTCAGCCGGCCACACCCCATGTTGCAGGCCTTACATCTTAATTGAGGATGTGCATGTTTAGCTCCCTGTTCTGATGGTAGTAAATCAACTGTTTGCCCATTGTTGGGAAGGTTTTTTTTTTTTTTTTTTTAATGTAAAAGAAAATCACAGAAAATGAATTCTGGAAAGAAATTTCTGAACCTTAGAAATAGATTTCCTGTTGTCGTATTTTGACCTTTCTTGCTCAGCATTCTCAGTCTTTATTGAAACTGTTTGAGAAGAGAGCTAATTTGAAATGCATTACCACCATTGACTTAAAATTTTCTCAATTGTTGAAAGCTGATGGGAGTTTATGAAATGTGCCTGGAGAGAGAAGGCTGGTTTCTATTTAGAACAGAAGCCTTTTGCTAGTAAATACAGTGGGAGAGGGAAAAGGTAGATGGGTCTCTTGTAGGAAACACAGAGAGGCTCAGAGGGGTTAAGTGAGCTTGTGTTCTCACCTTGCATTTGGAGACCTTGCAGCATTTGGACTTTGACTTTTCTCTCCAGGTGGTTCCCCATGTCTGTCAGTAGCTTTGTGTATTTTGACAGTTGGAGTACTCTCCTCTGCCTTTCCTGCCTGTTTCCAGTTCCAGCTCATAGCACTGTACCTGTTTTGGTCACCATGTTCAGGAATACCTTTCTCAAAATCTCTTAATTCACCCCACAATCGAATTTCCCAAATGGCGTATGCCTGCTTTCAGATATTGTAGTGGATGCTTATCACCCCACATTTTGATGCCACCCTACTATCTTTCTCTCTCCATCCTTATTTCTTAAGCCCTTCTTGGTGTGCTTAACTAGTGCTGTAGACCAAGTGTTTTTAGTATGTGTCTGTTAGGAGATTCTGGGAGTTGGCCAGTTCACTTGCAGGCCTGGAGAAGTTGCTCTGTCTCCTTAGCAGGGCTTTCTGAACTCCTAGGGTGGTGACCACAGGAAAAGGGACTGAATTCAGTAACATAACAGGTGGTCCTTCCAACAGGACAGGTAGCATTGTGAGCCATCCCCATCAGCATCCATCCGGCTCTTACAGCTCCTGTCTAGGAGAGTCCCTGTTGTTTCCTTCTACCAGCAAGCCTATTTCTCTTTTCAGAGAACCTTGAAAGTGTTGCTTATAGTCTCTCTGTCTTGTAAGAATTTGTCCTCTCTGTTGTGCTATAGTTGTTTCTTGTCATCGGACCTCCACTTTGGCAAACAGAACGTCCCTCGTTTTACTCAATCCACCTGCAGTTCTGGACTCAGCTCATTATCCTTCCTAGTGACTAGTTACTTAGCCTAAGGGTCATTGTCTTGATTTTCCAGATGCCTCCCTGGCTATTCCTCACCCTCTCAGTGCTGGGGTATCTGGGACACAGTCCTCCCTCTACTGTCTGAATCCACTTTCCAGGTGACCTTTCAGTTCATTACTTACTTTCTACCCTGAGGACTTGGACATGTGCAGGCTTCAGCCTCTGTTGACCTTAAGATTCACATGAAGTGCTGCCTAGCACCTTCACTCGGACACTTAAGTTACCTGCTCTCAGCTTCAGCACATCTGAAGCAAACTTAGGACTCCTCCCTGCCACACACATGCACGTAGAGCATGCCTGCTTCTCCTATGACCTCTCTAGTTTTGTAAATGGGATTCTTGGAGTTTCTTGGAATCTCTTTGGTTCCTTTCACCACAGTCAGTCAACAAACACTTTGTCAGCTTCATTTCCAGGACAGACATACTTGGGGTCTGATTACTTCCCACCATTTGCTTGTCACCGTCCTGAAGCTCTTTCTGTTTATCTGCCTCCCTTATCCATCTACGTTTGTCCATTTTCTTCATAGCAACCAATGTGATTCTCTTGAATGGAAGTTAAATTCTATCACTTCTGTTAGAACCTTCTAGGAGCTCTCTGCTGGGTAACGACCAGCATCCCATGATGTCTTATCCTAGGTCCTTGGTTACTTCTGATCTTACCTCCTTCCCTTTCCCAGCCCTCCCTACTGACCTACAGACCTTGAACCTGCCTGACACCACCTTGACTCAGAGCTTACATTATTTGCTTCTCCCTCTGTCCAAGGGCTTCTTTCTCCCCCAGGTTATTTATTGCATGGCATATCTTTTTGTCTCTGCTCAATGACTGTTAGTGAGTCCTTCCCTGGTAGTTTGCGTCCTGTCTACATCAGGTGGGAATAGGAGTATCAGTTCAAGTGATGTGAGATCTCTCTTGTCTTTGGTGAAGTATTCTTTAGTTCTTAATAATTGGATTAGGCTTAGAAGAGATGATGCAAATTTTCTTTGACTTGAACTTCTGATTATGTCATTCTGGAAAGCCTCCTAGCTTCTAACTGCATAGCTTTGATCAAGAAGGAGAGAGAGGATCATCTGACAGACACATTGTCTATCTAACCTAATGGTTAGGTGTGGTAATGCACACCTTTAATCTCAGCACTTGGAGGCCTAAGCAGAGGCAGAGGCAGGTGGATCTCTAATGAAGGTCAGCTGGGGCTACAGGGAGACCCTGTCTCAAAAAAAAAAAAAAAATCTATTTACAACTTGCCTCGCTAACGCTTTAAAAAGGAACTAACTTTTGACCCTCTTTTCAAAAAAAAAAAAAAATCTATTTACAACTAGTCTCGTTACAGTTTTAAAAAGGTACTGACTTCTGAGCCATCTCTTTAGCTCCGAGATCACCTTATAAATGAAGAAGATACAATGGAAGTTACTATGTTCATGCTTATGCATCTTATAGTCTAAGAGGAACAGTCTTAGGGATTGCTCACAGAGCTACTGGCATGTCCTCACCTCTGTGTTTCTGCCTTTCTGTGCTCTCTAGGTCCGAAAGAAGAGGAAGAGAGGCGTTTGCCTTTAGCACCTGAGCAGCCACTCCTTCTCGTGGAGGTAGTGAGCCAGGATGCAGTTCCACAAGTGGCCATCCCTCTCCCTGCCTGGGAGCCACGGCCAGGGCCAGAGCCAGACAGGAAGCAAGAAGTCACAGATTGTGAGGTCAATGATGTGGAGGAAGAAGAGGAGGAAGATGAGGAGGAGGAGGAGGAGGACGAGGACGAGGAGGAGGAGGACGAGGAGGAGGAGTTGGAGCTGGAAGAAGAGGGGGAGGAAGAAGCCGACATGCCCGGTGAAAGTTCTGTGAAAGAACTAGAGATTCGATGTGAAGAAAAGCCAGAGGATTTATTAGAAGAACCAAAAATCACTTCAAATGAAACTTCTGAAGACTCTCCAGATGTGACACCTCTTCTCCACATCCCCAGAACTAAAGAGGAGGCCAATGGTGACATGTTTGAAACGTTTATGTTTCCATGTCAGCATTGTGAAAGGAAATTTGCTACTAAGCAGGGCCTTGAACGTCACATGCATATCCACATGTCTACCATCAATCATGCTTTCAAGTGCAAGTACTGTGGGAAGGCGTTTGGCACACAGATTAACAGGAGGCGGCATGAGCGTCGCCATGAAGCAGGCTTAAAGAGGAAGCCCAGCATGACGCTACAGCCCTCAGAGGACCCAGCCGAAGGCAGAGTTTCTGGAGAAAACATGGCGTCTAAAGAGGAATCAAATCCTCCCCAGCTGGGGCAAGACTGTCTGATTTTGAATTCAGAGAAAACCTCCCAGGAAGCATTAAGTTCTTCTGCTATGGAAGAGAATGGGGAAATTAAAGAACTTCACCCATGTAAATATTGTAAAAAGGTTTTTGGAACTCATACTAATATGAGACGGCATCAGCGCAGAGTTCATGAACGCCACCTGATTCCCAAAGGTGTCCGGCGGAAAGGAGGGCTTCTGGAAGAGCCGCAGCCACCAGCAGAGCAGGCTCAACCCACCCAGAATGTCTATGTACCAAGCACAGAGCCAGAGGAGGAAGGGGAAGCAGATGACGTGTACATCATGGACATTTCTAGCAATATCTCTGAGAACTTAAATTACTACATTGATGGTAAGATTCAGACCAACAGTAGCACTAGTAATTGTGATGTGATTGAGATGGAGTCCAATTCAGCAGACTTGTACGGCATCAATTGTCTGCTCGCTCCAGTAACTGTGGAGATTACACAAAATATAAAGACCACCCAGGTCCCCATCACAGATGATCACCCTAAAGAATCTCCCAGTGGTGCAAATGGCGAGTCCAAGAAACGGAGGACTGCGAGTCCACCTGTGCTCCCCCAAATTAAAGCTGAAGCAGATTCGGAGTCCTCCGCACCCTCCTGTTCCTTAAGTCTGCCTCTTGGCATGTCAACCGCAGAGGCAACTTCTTTCCATAAAGAGAAAAGTGTCTATTTGTCGTCAAAGCTCAAGCAGCTGCTTCAGACCCAGGACAAGCCGACTCCTACGGGGATCACAGCAGCGGAGATTCCTAAGTTAGGGCCTGTGTGTGTGTCTGCTCCTGCATCCATGCTACCTGTGACCTCTAGTAGATTTAAGAGGCGGACCAGCTCTCCGCCCAGTTCTCCACAGCACAGCCCTGCCCTTCGAGACTTTGGGAAACCTAGTGATGGAAAAGCAGCATGGACAGACACGGTTCTGACGTCCAAGAAACCCAAATTAGAAAGTCGTAGTGATTCGCCAGCATGGAGTTTGTCTGGGAGAGATGAGAGAGAAACCGGAAGCCCTCCTTCCTTTGACGAATACAAACTAACAAAAGAATGGGCAGCGAGTTCCACTTTCAGCAGCGTGTGCAACCAGCAGCCGCTGGACTTATCCAGCAGTGTCAAACAGAAAGCTGAAGGCACAGGCAAGACTCCAGTCCAGTGGGAATCTGTGTTAGATCTCAGTGTGCATAAAAAGCCTTGTGATTCCGAAAGCAAGGAGTTCAGAGAGAATCATTCGGTGCAGCCAGCCTGTACTGCCGCAAAGAAGAAGAAACCCACCACCTGCATGCTACAGAAGGTTCTTCTCAATGAGTACAATGGCATCAGTTTACCTACAGAAACCACACCAGAGGTGACCAGGAGCCCAAGTCCCTGTAAATCCCTAGGTGCACAGCCAGATTCTGACCTTGGTCCTGACTCAAGTTGCTCTGCCCCTGCTGTTGAGTCCCCACCTGAAGTTGGCCCATCATCTCCTGCCCTACAGACGGCTTCCCTGTCCTCAGGCCAGCTGCCTCCTCTCTTGATCCCCACAGAGCCTTCTTCCCCTTCGCCCTGCCCTCCCGTGTTAACTGTTGCCACTCCACCGCCTCCCCTCCTTCCAACTGTTCCTCTCCCTGCCCCCTCTTCAGGTACCTCTCCTCACCAGTGCCCCTCTCCGCTCTCCAATGCCACTGCCCAGTCTCCACTTCCAGTTCTTTCCCCAACAGTGTCCCCTTCCCCCTCTCCCATTCCTCCTGTGGAGCCACTCATGTCCGCTACTTCTCCTGGTCCACCAACACTTTCCTCCTCCTCTTCCTCCTCTTCCTCCTCCTCCTCTTCCTCTTCGTTCTCTTCCTCTTCGTGTTCCTCCACATCCCCTTCCCCACCCCCTCTCTCAGCAGTGTCATCCGTGATTTCCTCTGGGGATAACCTGGAAGCTTCTCTCCCTGCAATAACTTTCAAACAGGAGGAGTCAGAGAGTGAAGGTCTGAAACCCAGGGAAGAGGCCCCAGCTTCAGTTGGACAGAGCGTTGTCCAAGAAACGTTTAGCAAAAGCTTCGTCTGCAATGTCTGTGAATCACCTTTTCTCTCCATTAAAGACCTGACCAAACATTTATCTGTTCATGCTGAAGACTGGCCCTTCAAATGTGAATTTTGTGTGCAGCTTTTTAAGGATAAAACTGGTTTGTCGGAGCATCGCTTTCTGCTTCACGGAGTTGGGAATATCTTTGTGTGTTCTGTATGTAAGAAAGAATTTGCCTTCTTGTGCAATTTACAGCAACACCAGCGAGATCTCCACCCGGATGAGGTGTGCACACACCATGAGTTTGAAAGTGGGACCCTGAGGCCCCAGAACTTCACAGACCCCAGCAAGGCCCACATGGAGCACATACAGGGCTTGCCAGAAGAGCCTTTGGAAACCTCCAAAGAGGAAGAGGAGTTAAATGATTCCTCTGAAGAGCTATACACGACCATAAAAATAATGGCCTCTGGAATAAAGACGAAAGACCCAGATGTTCGACTGGGTCTCAATCAGCATTACCCGAGCTTTAAACCACCTCCGTTTCAGTACCATCACCGAAACCCCATGGGAATTGGTGTGACCGCTACAAACTTCACGACCCACAATATTCCACAGACTTTTACTACTGCCATTCGCTGCACAAAGTGTGGGAAAGGCGTTGACAACATGCCCGAGTTGCACAAGCATATCTTGGCATGTGCGTCTGCGAGTGACAAGAAGAGGTACACGCCTAAGAAGAACCCGGTGCCCTTGAAACAGACGGTGCAGCCCAAAAATGGAGTGGTGGTTTTAGACAGCGCCGGGAAAAATGCCTTCAGACGGATGGGGCAGCCCAAGAGACTGAACTTTGGTGTTGAGCTCAGCAAAATGTCTCCGAATAAGCTCAAATTAAATGCATTGAAGAAAAAAAACCAGCTTGTACAGAGAGCAATCCTTCAAAAAAACAAATCTGCAAAGCAGAAGGCTGACCTGAAGACTGCTTCTGAGGCGTCATCGCACATCTGCCCGTACTGTAACAGGGAGTTCACGTACATCGGCAGCCTGAATAAACACGCCGCTTTCAGCTGTCCTAAAAAACCGCTTTCTCCTTCCAAAAGAAAAGGTTCTCATTCATCCAAGAAGGGTGGGCACCCGTCGTCCGTGAGCAGCGACAGGAACAGCAGCAGCAACCCTCGAAGACGGACCGCCGACGCGGAGATTAAGATGCAGAGCACTCAGGCACCTTTGGGCAAGACCAGAGCTCGCAGCTCGGGCCCCACCCAAGCTCCACTGCCCTCCGCATCCTTCAGATCCAGGCAGAATGTCAAATTTGCAGCTTCCGTCAAGTCCAAAAAATCAAGCTCCTCCTCCTTGAGGAACTCCAGTCCTATAAGAATAGCCAAAATCACTCACATCGACAGCAAGAGACCCAAAGCTGTTGCCAAGAATCACTCTGCTCAGCTCTCAGGCAAGCCATCCCGAAGCCTGCATATGAGGGCACAGAAGAGCAAAGCTGTTTTACAGAGCAAGAGTGCTCTGGCCAGTAAGAAAAGAACAGACCGGTTCATTGTAAAGTCTAGAGAGCGGTGTGGGGGCCCAGTCACCCGAAGCCTTCAGCTGGCAGCTGCTGCAGACCCGAGTGAGAACAGGAGAGAGGACAGCAGTGCCAGACTTGAGCTGAAGGACTTCAGGTAAGCCCAGAGCTCGGGGAGGCCAGGACTGCCAGGAAACGGGAGCAGGCTTGCCTGGAGGGTGTTCTTGTTTTCGCTTCCTGTAAAATTTTGACATAAGCATTTTTAATGACATAGCTGTTGCGTAATTCGTGGCATGCAAGCTCACGGCTTTGGCTGCCAGACAGACAATAAATACTTTTTGTTTCAGACTTAGGACTCACAGAGTCGTACCATTTCTTTAATTTCTGAATCGAACTTGAACCGTCGAAAAGCTCTCAAGTACCTTATAGGAAAAGATGAAGTTCTCTTCTTTCACGTCTTGGGTGATGTTTTAGGGTCACTTGTATTGCTTCCTGATCATAGGTTGAAGTGGATCATGAGTTCATTAGCAAATTGCATTGCACTCTTAATAGTTTGTGACTTAAACATACTTATTAATAGACTTCTTTTATTGTTAATGCTTCTATTTGCTTGTGTGTGAATTCTAAAAACTTGCCACAATTGCTTAAAACAAAGCACCATGTATCTTAAAAATGCCTTATATTCCCCCTCCAGTCCTCTGCCTCCAGCCATAGTGTAATCAATAAGCAAGGTTCTAAAGGGGAAGAGGAGCCAGACAGGGTACTCAGAGCCCAGGGAGGCGGGGCCGGGTGGCTGTGAGGCTCAGGTGGTACCCAGGGAGGTCAGTGTTCTTTGTCGGTGCCTTTCCCCCCCGATATTGATGTAAAGTTTCATTTTAGATTTGAGCTGATGTTTTTGCCTTACTTCATGTTTTCCTCAAGTTAAGAACTGTTCTCAGGGACAGATGAAAAGATGTAGCCCAAGTTATATCTGTTGCTTCTCAAGTTACTTGAGTTGATAATGCACTCTTGGGATTCCTGCTGATTCCCAGAGGATGTCCACAGGTCAGCTGCTGCTGAGATCCTTTGCCATCACATGGCCACTCTGCGCATGCTTTGAAGCCTTGAACGCAGCTGCCTTGACTCTGGACTTTTATAGCTGTAGTTTGAGGTGGTTAAGCAGCATTAGTGCCGCCTGTGGAGAGGTCGTGAGGATACAGAGGTGCCCTTGTCCCTGTAGAATTCGTGGTGCCGGTGTACCTTGAAGCATAGCAAAAGATGTAGAAAACAGTCACTAGCTAAGGCTGATTTGAACGATTTACTGTAGGGTTGAAGGATTGGCATTTTTAAAAGTACTTTATACCCTGTTCAGTGCTAGTTGCTATAGCCTTGGTCATCTTTGGCCGTGGCAGGTGCATAGTGGGGTTGGCCATGGTTAGGTGCCGGTTTTTTAGCCGTCAGGTGCCTGCTTGTTACTGTGCACCAGAGTTGGGTTCAGCCTCTGTTCTGGAGATTACACCATCAACAGAACATTATTGTTCTAAGTCCTTTGAATTGTGTCCTAGCCAGAGCACCTGAGGGTGCTTGCTGCTTTAATGTGTGCTGTTTGTCCAGTGTTACCTAGAAAGATTGTCTGTTTTGTACTAGATCCTGTTTAGACAGTTCAAGGGTAAATACATGAAAAAATTAAGTATTGTAATGAAAAGCAGAGCATGTGTTTATGAAGTCCGTTCACGTCACTGTTATCCAGTGTTTTGAAAGAATCCTTAAGGCTAAAGTGCCAAAAAAAAGTCTCTTTGTTCCAGTAGACTTTAAACTATTTTGCTTTCGTTTGATAGTTAACAGAGGGGTATGTTGCTGGAGTGAAACTTGACCTAAAGAAACAGATAAGAAAACACTGGTAGTTTTGTAGGTGGTGGATGGTGCAGTGTTCATCCCTGGTGGCTGTTCCTTTTCCTCTGGGAGTCACTGCAGCTGTGCTGTAGACACGTCCCCAGGACTTAGGGGCGTTATCCAGGCAGTACCAAGGACCATAAGCTCGTGCGGTGCTTGAGGCAATTAAAAGCAGACGGTAATATTTTTACTGTCGAGGTACAAGCTTGGCCGTTCCTCTTGAGTGTCTCTTGGTCATCTTAGTACTCTGTAGCAGACTGAGTACACAACCAGGATTCCTGGCCTCGGGGCACGCGTGTGGTGTGTGTGGTGTATGATGAGGGATTGTTTTGCTGAACAGTCCTGTTCTTTACTGTCTCAACTGAGTTTGTCTGGGGCAAGTGCTGTGATGGAGGCATCTGTTGTATGCGGGGGGGCTGCCTGTTCTGGAGGCCACCCCAGCAGAACTATGGGCCTCAGCCCGGTGTCCACTGGCTTGCTTGCTTTGACCTGTGCCGCCCTGGGGCCTTGGTGCGGAACCTGCAGCATGGTCCTTCCTTCCCTGCTTTTTCTTTCTCACTAACTGGGATCGTCTCCAGCTCTCATCTGTACACTTGAAAGTCAGGGTCACTTCCTACAGCTTTGCAGATATGTTTCTGCTACCAGCCACATAGAATGTAGCCAGTTTTCCATCTTAACACAAGACTCCACAGACTGTCAGTTGGCCACTTCCTGGGGCACCAGCCTTTATACCATTCAGGGTATAAGCAACCATGTCCTCTGAATCCCTTTCTCAGCAAAGCTGCAGTGGAAAACAGACGGGGGCTTCCTGCCCCTGTGGTTGGATCTGGTGCTGACGGTTCCTTTCCAGGGCTCCAGTGTGACACAAAGAGGACATTTGCCTCTTACATGCTCTTCCCTGTCATCCAAAGGAGGCTCTGCATTCTTTATGCTCCGTCCATCTGAGCCATGTTGTCCTTTTTCTGTGGAACTCCTAGTCTAGAAATCTGAAGGGAGCAAGATGAAACCCAGAACAGGTTTTCCCAGCTGCTCACTGCTCGCCCTGTGCTGAGTCAGAGGATCTAGCTCCTCGGCCCTGGTGCCTCGCCCCACCCCCTGTGAAGCAGCCTGTGCTCTGGAGTGGGATGCCAAATCCTAAATACGGTCAGAGTCTGTCAGAGTTGTCTGTGTGTCTTGATACCATTTGTCTTAGAGTCGTCTTCATTCATTGTTTTTTTTAACATGGTCAGTTCATACAAGTTGTGTTATGTTGTCATTTATCTTCAGTTTTCTTATTTTCTAGGAACTTCCTGTAGAAAAGCCCCCCAAACAAAACAAACCTTAATTGACTAAAAGATAATGCATGCTCAACTTAGAATAAGCACCACGGCAAAGGATGTGAAATCTACCAAGCTTGCAAGACCAGTTGAAGCTGACTCAAAGGTCGTAACACACAGCTACTTCCCGCAGGCTTCTTGCCCTGTTTAGAGTCAGGCGTTGGCATCTTCGGTGGTGCCTTACATGCGTGCTGGGTTCCTGGGGGATTGAGATCCAAAGAGAAGGGCACTAAAGACGAGCCAGAACTGGCTCCTCATCACCGGACTGGCAGCTCAGATCTGAGTGTGGCCCCTTGTGTTCAGCACGTAGCAGTTAAGGGAATGATTGAACTTAACCTTGCAAAGCAAGTGCTCTGCTTGATCCATAGTTCACTGTAGATTTCAGGGATGACTGATCAGATGCACTCATTTCAAAACGTTTGCTCACACGCCAGCTCTTGAGCCTTTCTTGTACATGAAGTATACACAGAGACATTTAACTCATCTCTGCCCCTCCCCCCTTAAAAAATCACAAGCAGACTGCCAGCATAATGTAGAGGAAGCCAGATTGGATATGGACTCTTTTTATCCCTTGTTCAGTGTCATGTTTATATATCCAAATGGACAATATCCTCTCATTATCTGGCACTAATCTATAGTTATTATATTATGAGATACTATGTAGCAATGTATCAATGCACAGAATGCATCCCAGGCCTGTATAGCTGTAGAATTACATGTAACTATGAGTGAATCCATACCCCAGGTGTTACACTTCAGTCTAGTAGACAGAATAGCATGCTGGCCTCTGCCCAAGTGCCAGCATCACTTTTCTGTGAATTTTTATGCCCCCCCCAAGTAATGACTGAGTTGGTGGTAATGGCTGCATTTTATTCATGCTGTTTTTTTGTTCTCAACCTTAAAAGTAATCTACCTCTTGAAATTTGTAGCTTAATACTTGTTCGGTGGATTTGTGCCACTTTAACCTTTCACTGTCATTCCCATTTTGTTACGTTTCTGTTATGGGGACTTTATGTTGAAATACTGTGTAAAGCATTTGTAGCGGTTTAAAAATAAAATATTTTAAATTATTTAAATTGTTTTGAATGCTTCAACTGTATTATGTGATTTACGTTTTACATTTTTGTTTGCATTGTTAATCGGGAGAGCATTGCTGTATTGAAGTTTGCTGTCAGTTATTTTATTGCCTCTTGTTGGAGAGTGCTATACAGACATTTAATGAAACCATTAAAATTTACAATGTGACATACAAAAGGGGTTGTTCATTGATTTTAACCCATGTAGCCTTGGGAGAGAATGAGCACATGACAGAGTTTACTACAGACCCCAGAGTGATGGCTGTGCTTTTCCCGTTAGCACGGATGCACCCTTTGCTTCTCAGCTGTCTAAAAGTACTTTTATGTTGTTATTGCAAACACCTGATTAACTAGGGAAGATACGTTGGATGATACGTTTTATACCATTGTAACCAATAAAAACGTTGTAAACACTTGTGAAAGGACTGTGTTTTGTCCATAATGGGGAGCAGCTAAGGGATGGGTGCTGAGGTGCTGGAGGACTTCCCTGTGTAGCCGTGGGTAGTGAGCCCACAGGGCCTCGGGGCCGCTCTCCACCTGTTTGTGTCTGGCATTGACCAAGCGTCTGCTAATTCCAGTTGCTGTATCCTGTCAAGAGGTAGACACTTAGTTGGACAGCAGTGCCAAGAAGTGCCTTATGGACTGTGGTAAGAGGGAAATAAAGGAATTTTTTTTTTTTAAATCTGGTATTTCAGCTGGCTCTGGCCTGTTGGCAGTTTGTGGATTGGCTTTTATAGTTCTTCCAAGCATGAATCAAATGCTGACATTTGTGCAAGGTCCTTCCAAGGGCTGGCTTGTGTGTGTTGTCATGTTTTGATAAGGGCCTTCCTGTAGTCTAGCAACTTGTCTGCCCTTGCTTCTTCAGGGAGGGGCCTGCAGACTTGACAGCTTCCCTGGACTGCATGTTCACACTCGCTTAGGAACCCTGCTGAGGACGGGGAGAGGGTGCTTGACCCTCAGCAGTGCTCTGTGGAGAAACCCTACCCCGGTCCGAGGAAACCCTCCCTCCTACTCTCCTTGCCGGTCATTGGACCCCTGTGCTCTCCTAAATGCCCTCCGTGCCCCCCCCCCCCCCGTTTGGTGAGTTAGCCTTGGGCGAGTCTGTTTTCTGCATCTCTGTTTCCAAATACAGAAAGCAGGGAGTGGCCCAGGGGGTGCGCGTTGCTGAATCTCTGGGGTGTGCCTCATTCTACATGGTCCCGCAGCTCTGACTGTGGCTTGAAGCTTAGGTTCTCACATTGGCTGAATGGAGGCGTTCCCAAGAAGCCATGTCCTGTCCATCTGGTGAAGAAGGAGCTGTTGGGCTCAGGTTGCTTTTGCCCTTTATAGAGAGTGAAATATTTGTTAAAAAGTTAAAAGCTAGTAGAGCCTTTTGACTTGCCTGTTTGAGAGCATGTAGTGCCATTTCCAGGCCAGCTGTCACTCGTGGCCCAGTTGCAACAAGTGCTTCTAGCAAGAATAATTTCTAGACTCCACTTAATTTTGTTGAGTATTTAATGCATGCCAGGCTGTGTTCTAGGAGCTGTTAGTGTATGTCAGTGGACCCCAACCCTAGTATTCCAAAGAGATGCACAAGTGATCAGTTCTGAGTCCTGGTCTATGCAGCAAGTTTAGGCCAGCCAGGGCTGTAGAGTAAAACCCTGTGCCCACCCCCACACCCCCCAAAAAAGGGTCATCTCCCCTCATGAGCCTTCATTTTCCTGGCAGCCTTTTCTCTGGTGTTCTTGATAATTGAAGCTGCCTCATTGTCACAGTCCCCAGAGTGGGTGGTCAAAAAAATTCAATCAACCTCAGGTTGGAGTGCTGACATCTTGGGCATTGGAGGTGAATCATACTCAGATCCAAGTGTTTGCTAACATTAGAGCTCATTGAGTGTATTTGATGTTCGAGTGGAGTTTGGTTGGATATTGAAGTTCACTTCGACTAGATAAGCATACTTTTTTTTTTTTTTTTTTTTTAAAGGGCAGCTTATTTTAAAAATGGGTTTAGAGTGCAGGTTAGAGAAGACTGTATGAACAAACAGGTCACGTTGCAAGTGCCCCAGCAACCAGGCTGATGGTTAAGGAAAATTCTGTCTGTTAGCATTCCAGGCCTCGCAGCCCCTTGGCCTTTCCTCCCTGACAGCGCCAACCTAAGGCTGCCGCTTGAGGATCTGATCTTAGTGAATGTTCTGGAAGTGTGGACGGGCCATTATGAGAGAGCCAGAGCCCCAACTTCCGAGATTGACTTAGAGAGCCCCGTAGCTAGCCTCTTAACTTAGCCTAAGACCTGCTGGGAAGTCTGTGCTTTAAAGGCTGGCTAGTTTCAGTGCACACAGAGGAGTGTGTAACGAGTCCTAATTGCCAGCGAGGACTTGCAAGTTGTTGGCCTTCTGGTGTCACACATAATCATGGTCATCGTGCAGGACTGGGCTGGAGAACCAAAGCTCTCTGAGAGTCACTCCTGAACCCTGAGCCTTGGGCTTAGAGTTGTGTGCACTGGTGGCAAAGAGTGGGGGCAGGCCCTGAAGGCGAAGAGGCAGGACAAGGAGAGGACAGTGGCTGCCTCCCCAGACTTGGGTTCATTCCAAGACACAGTCCTTTTGGACCACTTCCTACCAGTGCCTTGACAACCTCCCTGCCGCAGACCTTGTCCGACAAGCAGGAACTTCGAGTACTGGGTAATACCAGATAATAGCAGTGAGATTCAGAGTGAGGGTAAAGATGACATTTCTACCATTAAAAAGCATCCAGTTGTACACAACGAAAAAAAAAAATGAATGGAACAAAACTTGGGGTTTGTGAGTGGTGTGATCAGGGAAGACAAACTGCTGGGAAGCTGCTGGTGTCTTGAGGCCCCACACCTACTGCTCACCATTTTCCTGGTTCACTTCATTTCCCATCTGCCTCTTTCTCTCCTAGAGGTATTAGGGTTGATCTCACGAACTCCAGGTAAATTCAAGGCTTGCTGGCACTTGATGTGTATTAGGAACAGCTTAGCATTTTAAAACTGGCCTCTTGATCATCACACCATGAGGAAGGCTGGTATGATTAGCAGGCCAGGGACGTAACTGTCCTGAAGGCGCACACATATTACTGAGTCTTCATTCATTTCTTCTAAGTGCAGGCATAGGCCTTGATACCTTCTCTACTAAAGACTTGCGCATTAGTGAACACAGAACATTCTGTGGCCAACGGAGTGTCCCTGGCTGGCAGTTCTCTGAAGCAGAACCTCTAGAAGGGACTGTCCTGTTTCCCTTATCACAGAAAAAAGAAAATGCTTCTGTTCACCTCCCACACCAGGCAGTTCTTGTCCACACTGGCTTAAAGGACCCCCGCCTCATCAACAGGTGACTGCAACAAAAACCCAGTTCATTGTTGTAAAACTAAGCTCGTTAGCATCCTGCCCTTTGGATTTGGCAGTGATTCTAAGAAGGAAAGCTGGGGTTATCAGACACCTGGGACATCGCCAGATGACCCTGACCTGCTGGTTATTTAAACCCCATGGTCCAGGCTCACCTCCCACCCCAAAGAGTGCATTAACGTGCATAGTCAAATCTCCCCATGGTGCTATTTTTAACATAGAAGATGAGTGCCTAGAAGGCCTGTGTAGGCTTCATGTACTTTCTGGAGTAAGCATGAAAATTTGTGAGGGGGGAACCCGCATAATGACACTGCATTAAATTACTTGATGTAATATCAGGTTCAATTTTGAGCCATGAGGAGGGGCTTGGAAATACTGGTATTAGAGTAAAACTTTACCTTCTATAGTAATAGGATTTGTGTGTGCTTGCATTTCCTGCCTCACTGGTCCCAGCTGGACTTTAAGTCTGTTGCAAAGTGATAGGAGATCCAGGCAGAAGTTGCAAGGAACACAAACATCTTAGGGAAAACTTTAATGTCTAAATGTACTTTCCCTCATCCAAATCAGCAGCAAGCCAGTAAAGAAGTTGCCTTCCCAAGGGTCCTGTGCTAGGTGCTCCGCAAGTTACTGGGTGGAGAGAGACTGGAGTGTTGCTTAGGGAGCAACAGACTCTGGGACTATTAGGTGTGGGTTTATATTCTAAGCAGGAGCACACTTAAGCTTGGTGTCTTCCCATATCAGTGTTTAGACAGAAGCCTGCTGTGTACTATAAATTGGACTTCGATATCTACTGAGTCTTAGCATTAGTCTAATGTAAATTTTAATCAGGACTCATTTGAAAAAGGCCTGAAATTTGCTACCCAGGTAAGTTAGTGGCAAGAGGGTATTTAAGCCTTAGGATACATAATCACAACAATTTGTAAGAACAGTCACAATTTAAAGCAGTATTTTGCCAAGGTACATTTTAAGATTCTTCACTGGAAGGAAGGTCTTGAAGCCTCATATGGATTCAGTTTTCCTTGCAGCACCATTCTCCTCACTTGCCTTTTGCCATCCCAGCCACACCCTTGCCAACCAGCTAGACTATAGGAAGGCTCTCGTGCAGCTTGCATTTCCAGGCCATTACTGTTTAGTGAAGCTTAAGCCAAGCTCTTGCAGGGATTCTGGTGGCCACTAAGAAAACATCTTTCAGTGTGGGTTATCAGTTGTTGGGCTCCTCTCTGCATCCTGCCCTGGAGCCAGAGAGCAGTCCTAGGTCCTGGGACTTAGAGAGGACCCCTGGGATGCAGCCAGGCCTGTGGAGGAGCTGAAGTAGCCACTGTTCAGTGCATGGGGTCTCTACTGAGTGTGTTACAGGGCTTGACTTGCTGAACTCCCCTCACACCTGAGGGAAATAGTATTCTCATTACAGAGAACCAAGAGAGAGGTGATGGCGCTTGAATCATGTCCCACACCTGTGTAAGTGGGACTGACACCTCTGAGTCTGACCCCAGGTCTGCCATACCCAGCTGCAGCATGAAGTCACCTAGTTGACTTGAGTTTGTAGAGTGATAGTCACTTACATAACTTCCTGATGCAGGCTGATGCTGATGTGATTGTCCCAAACTTGGTTTCATGTCTAGAACCTGGTTTCATTTCAGGAAGTGGAGTGGAGGGAAGAAATGGCTAAAACTGCTCTCTTGGATACTGTTAGTAACAGGCACTACTGGCCAGGCCGGGGATGCCCACCCTGCAAAGCTGGGCCTCCACCCTTTGTGACTGTGAAAGTGCATGACCATGGAATCTTAGGAAGGCCTCGTAATGACTGTCAGCACCAGTGTCAGGTACCTGAGTGGCCCCAGTAGCCTTAGAAGGTGCCACTTAGCAACTGCCAGGGAGGCTTAGGATCTGGCCCAGGTGGAGAGAGGAGGCCATGCCTGGTGATGGTCTTAATGGTGCTCACAGAGGAACTTTTGGAGAAGTCTGCTGCAGAGACAAATGCTTTGCTTCAGTGGAATTGGGGATTGAGCCTAGGGCTTCGCACATGCTGGGTTTGGCACTTATAAAAAAGCCCTGAAAGAGAAGAGAAAAATCCTTCCCA